AAGGGCAAAAAGGATAATTACCCTCAACTCACAAACACACCAGAGCAACAGTCAGTATGTGTCAATATTTGCTGTAGTGAGGTGGATGAAATTGAGCTCACTCTCCAAATGAACTGTTAACATGGGGCTCCACTTATGTGATTATACCTAAAAAACAATCCATAGTATATGAGCATCACTTTGTATTTATATATATATATGTATATATATATATATGTATATATGTGAAGAGAGATACACATACTTATGCATACGCTTTTGTGTATATTCATATATAGATATATGAGCGCACATATTCGATATAAATCGTTGACGCACGCACGTACTTTCATGGGGGGGCCTGGCGCACAGGTGTGGAGCGTCCTGAGTGGGGAGTGCCTGCAAACGCTGAGCGGCCACGATGCGCTGGTTACCATGGTCTCCTTTTCGGAGGAAGCGACTGCCACTGAGACATGCTTCCTTAAAGGATACCAGTTTTAGATTCATCTTCACATCAATATGGAAGCATTTAACGGCATTGTTGAATCTTTATTAACAACCGATTTTTTGGGGCTAGTTGAGCTCTGACCCACATTCCAACTGATTTGAAGGATCCGAATCTTTGTAAAACAAAAGGTGGTGTGTCCAATGTCAGTTTGTCCGATACTGAGTCAGCGCCGACTCGCTAGGGGAACCTATGTGAGAGTTGTTGCTTCTCAATGGGAGCTATATGGTTAGTATCCCTACTTACAACCGTTGGCGAGGGGATGAAGCAAACTTCTAATTCATCTAAGCAGGGCTTTGCATGTCTATTTTTTGCGAATTGCCGTAAGGTTCTGTCCTCATGCCGGGTATTCAATTCGAGTTGTTGTTCACATGTTTCTCGGCAACTTATTATTACATGCCTTTTGTAGAGCAACAGCTTTCCTTCGTACACGCATAAAACACCGCCGTGAAGGTCTCCAGTGAGGGATGGTGTTTTTGAGTTGGAACCCAGCAGGCCCATTGAGACATGGTCAAGCACCTATGTTTTGGTATTTTGAGAGTTTCTCCAAATGCAATCTAAAGGAAAGGCACAAGGATCCCGCTGCCATGTTGGGAAACGGACCGAGTCCGATCTTGTGGAGCACGCTATGAGACGGAATCAGAAGATGTGACTTTTGGAGTATTCCAGTGGGCCAAGCCAGGGTGGCAAGGTCTTACGGTCATTCATTGCCACCCATGCCCCGAGGTGCTTCCACCCGCCACCCGCCATGCCCCCATGGTACTAAGGCCTTATGATGCCTTATGTGGGTTGGGCGGTCATCGCAGGACTGCTCCAAGGTGCTGACGGCCTCCCAGGACTCCACGGCGCGGGTGTGGGACGTGCGCACCGGCAGGCGGCTTCGGGGGGATTCGGCGGTGTGTTTTTTTGTCGGAGCCATCCCTCGTTTTTCGGGTACTGTCCACGGAAAACTGAGGTGTTTTGAGTTTTGACCAGAGGCAGTTTGCTGGGTTTTCTACTGGTTTGGGGAGGACGAGAACGGGGAACAACCTGTGAGTGCTTGTCTGCTTGTCAAACCCGGACCTCTCGGTTTTCCCAGTCCTTTTCTGCCTTGAAGGGGCTAAAATAGGTGTCCTGCTTTGCATGGCCACGGGAGGTCTGGTCAAAGGACCGCTCGGGCTGGCCAGGCATTGTCAAGAAAACTAGCGGGAACCTCCCCCCCCCCCCCGGCAATTTCGGGGGCTTCCCCATTTTCAGATGAACCATCTGGGTGTTTCTCAAAATGGGTTTCAGACTCTTTCTTTTGGATTTCAGCTTATTCAACGAAAAGGAACCTAACCACTTCAGCTCACACCGATTTTGACTTCCCCACCCCCACGCCAATATGGAGTACCTATACTTGCACTCTCTGGGTTCGGCTGCGAAGCTTCGGGCCAAATTGCCAGGTGCCATCAGCTGCTGAAGGGCCACAAGGGCTCGCTCCATGGCGCCGTGTTCTCCGCTGGCTGAACCCGTGCTTTTGCGCGGGTAAATATTTGTTGGCATGTGCGTATTTGGGGGACCGCCAAAAAGGGTGCTGTTCCTTTCGGTTTCCTCGAGACCAACCCCCCCCAAAAGGCATCCTCACAAAGTCACAAACCATGTGCAAATGGCTCATACAGTAGTGCTGGGAATGACCAAGTCGGCATGGCAGAAAGGGATAGATTTTCCACTACGATTCTGACAATATTGTATTAACTGGCAACTCAAGTGTTCCACAACCTGGAACTTGAGGAACCAAATCGGATGTCCGAAATGGAGTTTGGCGTCTTTGCGAAAGCGGGCTGTTGGGCCACACAAGTATTTTGTTACTTTCAGGAATGAAGCAAACATGAGCTTCATGCTTTCAGGGTTTTCGCTGAGTCAGCGGGTGTTTTGGCGTTCCATGTGAACTTTCAGCAGAGCAGTGGGCACGGCTTGACCAAGGCATGGGGCAATAGCCCTCGAGGGCCTAAATGAATTGAATGGGGGTTGCGGGGTAGCTTAAACTAATGTTACTCATGATTACGAGTACGCTTTTCGTGATAGTTCAACCCTTGATTTTGGTAATACGACAATCTCGGCAGTTTTGCTGGTTCAACGACTCACTTGCCCAGCGCCGACCTGTGGTCCCAAGTGTTGTGAGCGAGCATCATGTTGCAAGTAAAAGTGAGGACAGGACAGTCGGTAGGTCTCCAGTTGCAGCGAACATTCATGCTACCACGAGTAAACATATGTACGGCCATTCAATATGAACCCATGGGAATTCATGGGGCCATGGACGCCTGGGGCTTCAAGCCAAAACTCAAGCTGGGTTGCACACCAAGGGTTTATGCATTGAGCCTATTCTGGCTAAACCTCAATTCAGTTTCTGGTCTTGAAGCTTTGAAGGACTGTGAGCACCCTGTTAGACCTGAACCAATCCACCAGATATTCCCACTTCCTTTGTGCCTTATTATTATGGTTCCAAGACGGGGTTTTCAGGTCGCACTTGCGATAACCTTGAGGAAGCGTCGGGGAGGAGCTTAGTACTTCAAGCTTTAAAGGATACCAGGTGGAGCACTCCCTAATGACCGAGTCACGCGCCGGCAGCTTAATTGAAATCAGGGCTTTGTCCCGTGTGTTTCCACAGTACTCGCCTGCAAATGAACAGAACTGGATTGCTCACGAAGGATGCCGGAGCAGGAGGTATTTGTTCTGTTGATGGATAAAATCCTGCACCAGTTGAGAGGCGGTTGGCCGCAATATTTGAGGGTATTGTTCATCCTAGTTGGTGCAAACATGTCGTCCGTCAACAGTATCTAATACCAAAGTGGAGTTCCTATTCCCACGACTACTCCAACATATGTGTTTGCAGAGAGCCGTATACTTGCAAGCCATCTTCGTCTTAAAGAAACCTTGTGTCAGCTTCACGAGGAACGTAACGACGGCTAACTGCTCAGAACTTGCTGAGGTACTATTCCTTGTTCATTGGTTTGGGATAGTGCTCTATTCTTTCTCTGAGTCGGCGCATTTGACATGATTTTGTGACAAGTTTATTCCTTTTATGCCCCCCACAGATTGGGAGTTTTGACGATGGCACATGTGATGAGCAAACGGCGCCTTGACGTTTTTATATGTGATTTGCAGGAGTGTACTGACCTAGAGGGCCCCTTGGCACCCACCCGTTCGGATCTGGAAGTTTGTGCTTGACAATTTCCTTTTGACTCACTCTCGGAGGTCATGGCAATCTTATTTGTTGGGTCTGGGCCATTTTGGTGGCAAGCAAAAAGTGTCGACTTTGTTGATCCACTCAGGAAGTGAGTTAAAAAACTCCTTTGGACATGTGGAGTACCAAGGGCCCCTCTGGGCCAAGCTGCGTGGTTTCCTTAGAACCGCTTCCGCCTTTAGCGGAGCGGCCTATCTATGCCAAAGTGGCTGCCAGCGGGCCAAAAGGTGCGTTTGCCACCAGGAACTCCGCAGATTGGTCTCATTGCCTTGTTGAAAGGCTACGTAGCAAAACTTTCCATCAGCTTTCTGTCCCCTTGTCTTTGTCCCAATAGGCTGTTCAAACGCAAACATTGACGCTCCCTTGTGTTACATAAGGACTGCCCTTTGAGGATTGGCCAGCTCTTCTTTTGAATAGCAGTCATCATTCATTCCGTGGGGGCTGAAACAACACACTCTAGTTAGTTTCGTCCAGCAACATGTATTAAGGGGTTCCTCCATTTCCCAATATTTCTCCCTTGGGTGACGATCAAAAGAGGACCCAGGCCACGCAAATCTCGCCAGCCAAACTGAGTAAAACCGCCGGCAACTTGGGATCTTGTCGGGCATTCATAGGGCTGTGCGAGCCCCTATACACTAGTTTGGCTCTCTAGCTTTGTGTTATGCTCGAACTGTGGGGGCTCAGAGGGTTGCTCCAACAGGGGTTGACTTTTTCTGATTTGTTTGTGACTCCCTTTGAAAGGAAAGACAAAGGGCAGCAGGGTCCAACATTGGGCCTTTCACTTTGACCAACCCTCAAGAAATGACCGATGAACCTAACTCACAGCACCGGGGAAAAAAAAATAAAAAACTCAACTCAAACTCCGAACTCGGCGGAACTGCCGCCGATGTGCTTGTCACTTGTCCTCTTGGCTGATTTGCAGGGGGACAGGGGCAAACCGGCCGGTTGGCCTTGTTTTGAGAAGAAACTGTGTAGATGGGATGCGAAGCAATAGTGGTTTCAGCACAAGTGCCGTGGGAATGAGGGGCTGGTTCCAGCTTCTGTGATACCAGAGACCCCGCCCCCCCTCCCAGCAAGTGACAAACATCAGGAAAGAGGGCACTTTCGGCAGCCTCCTGCTTTTAGCATGTCATCAAGCAGGTTGCAACCTTCCAATCCTCTGCTCATTCCTTTGCCTGGGGTCTCCACCAAGATGATCTGATATTTTACGACTAAATATGGACAGAATTTGAAGAAATTATGTTTCACACATCCTGCGTTGGGCCAACCTCCCATTGGTCGTGAGTTGGTTCACCTGCGCGCCTGGCTCAGGCGGAGACAGCTCGCGCCTGGCGAATATCGTTGCAGGAGGCGAGCCTGTTTTCTGTCAACCGCTGACTTGCTGCCCGAGTTCCTGGTCGTTCCATTTTTTCAGACCAGCTTGATTTGGAGCATGGAACAACTTTGGACGCTTTTTGGCTCCACTCAGGAAGTGAGCTGAATCCTAACCCTGTTGTTAGCCAAGATTGATCCGTTCCAAAAGATGACCGAAACTGCAAGGGTTGTCAAGGTCGTCCTTTCATTCTCCTTTACCAGTGTCTGAGTTTCTACCCTTGTGCCGATCGCTATTTCGGAGCAGTTCTGTTGACGGCTGGTTTATAACTTTCCGAGTCATTGATCATGGGCTTTTCTGGAAAGAACATTTTGATCGAAAATGTTGACCCTGGACGAATCACCCTGGCAGATTATCCGTTGGGGGTGGTGCCCCGAAAAGTGAAATTGGACACCCCCTACCGTCAACCGGTGTCCGGGCTCGCATTGACGGAGGGTGTTTAAATCAGGGCTTCCATTAGTTGGAAATGATGACCTGAGCTCCCTTTGGGAAGCGTGAATTGATAATACAGGTATGCCTATCATGATTGTCATTGAGCTTCTGCAGTTGGGTTTGGGCATTTTGTTTTTCACATGTTCAGTTTCCCATATTTAATAAAGCGTATTGTTTCCAGCTTTCTTCATCATTTTAGTCTAGTGCCAGATTGTATCAAATTGTCAGATTTTCTGCCCGTCAACTCGGCACAACGGTAGCATTTGTTTGGTGGCCCCGTTTCATCTCGAGCCTCATTGAGGTTGACTGCCAAATCTTGCGAAAGCCCTGCAGTTTAGCCCGCTCTCCTTCCGTCAGTCAACTAATATTCAAGCCACTGTCACTTCCAAACTTGATGGAATGCTAAGGCCTCCCGGCACCCCTTCCCCCAATTCTTCTAAGTAGCCCAGATGCCCTTTGCTAATCTTTCCGGGGTGGGTGTCGCTTGAAGATCAGTCAGTAGACTGTTGTAATGTAAGGCTTGCTTTGGGTAAAGGAAGGTCCGGTTGGCGTCATCCACACATACAGATTTCTTGCACCCTCTAGGTGCAAGAAGCTGCTACTTTACCCAGCCTGAACTGCTTTTTCGTTTGGAAGGGTACCCTCTAAAGTGAACAAACAGAGGTTGCCCTTATTTTCCGAAGGCGGAGATTTGAGGACACCCGGGTTCAATGTAGCGCCCTTTCTGACTTTTCCCAAAGAGGTGCTTGTTGACACATGTCCATATGTCATATGTGCCATGGTCAAAAGACCGCTTGCTTGCGGTTAGTTGGGATGGCCATTTATAGATAGCCATTGTAAGGGTTCCACAGCGAACCATGACAGCATGGCGCACAATCAGATTGTTGAACTTGGCACAATGGCCAAACCCATGTCTTTGCCACATTGCTGCGATCTATCAGATGCGCGAGGTGCCCTTGTCACACAAAAGCTGCCGGAAGTGCAACATGTTCACTATTTTGTTTTCAGGGGCTCACCTGTGTGAGGTTGTTGTAGTAGTTTACAGCCTGAACCATGTTCATGTTGTTTTAAAGCTCTCGACTTTGAGCACTTGTTAATTTGTAACTAAGCACTGTTAAGAAGCGATACACGGATGGCTCGCCTAAGGAGACCTCATTTGTGCTGATTCGTGTAATCCCAGCTGCACTGAGTGCTCTCGAGCCGCAGTCTCTGATTTGGAGAACGTTGACTCGGCTGATTCAGAGGAGGACTCTGGCTCGAACCTCGACTTGACGGTGCAAGCCCTGAGCAACTTGGGCACCGCACCCAAGACTGCAAGATTGCATCAAGCGAGTACAGTGGCTGCATCGCTGTCACGGATGAGGTAGGGGGTGTCCTGTTATGCTTTGACTTTATAGTGTAGCTTATATAGCTCATTTTAGCTAAATCCAATTACTGTAAGCATGTTTCACCTATCGGGGGTGAAATACCATGATGGCAAATTGGTAGTTTGAGCTTCTCATATCATTTGTTCAGACTTGTTCCTTCCCACTTCCGGTTTGCAGCTCTCTTTATGCTTTGGAAGCTTGTAATCTGAAGCCCACAACTATAGAGGACTGAGGTCTAAAAGGAAACGAGCGGTTGATGGCAATGTGTTTACAACGTGAATGATTTGTACCCTATGCACCGTACTACTTTTTTGCCAAGGGCGCTTTAAGAAGGCATTACATACAAGTGTACCTGATATAACACACACACACCCTTGCGCACTGATCACTAAGTATACCTTCTAGGAAGAACGCGAACTCTTCAGCCCAACCACTGCAACGGGTTTCACTGTTACGAGTTTGTAAATTGGCCCTGACACCACGGACTTGCACCGGTGTTTTGCTGAGACTGGAAACTCATTCAGTACGCTACCACCCCCAATCACATTTGCGGTGCTTCCCGAACTTGCGAGCCCTTTTCGAGTCACAGACAAGGCCGGTTCACAGGTGATTTTGGGGGAACAACAGTTCAACCGGCTGACATTCACTCCATTCTCGAGTGTTGCCCATGAGCTGAAGGATGTGAGCCCCCCAGAGCTACAAAGAAGCCCAAACCCAGGAAGCGTGGTCACTAAGTACACAGAGATAGCTGGGACAAGCAAGCAAAGCCGAATAGAGTTGGCAGAATCACGTATTTTGTCCCGATGCCATGGGTGTAATACAGTCGTGCTGTGTTAGACTATGATTGGGTGTTGAAATGATAGAATTTGCAGGGTGTACACTACACTAGGCTGTAAGCTGGTCACTTTTTAGGCTTCGATGGCTTATTTGGTGATGATGGACAGCCCGAGCTATGATTCAAGTTGAACGTAATGTATCATTGTGTTATTTAAGCGTCCAGCGCATCAGCCTCGCTGATCTGCATGGATGCTTTCCTTCAAACTTGGAGTCATGCCAGGTGCTGATGTCCTGGTGAGGAGCCACAGAGGTTTGTCTCTAGATAAAAGTTTCTCCAGATAGCTTCTTAAAAGTTGCACAGGATGAACAAGAATGAACGAAATGACGATCTCCTGCCCCCCCCCCTTGCGGGCTGCTTACAGTACTCAGGGTGAGAACGGCCAGGTGGTGTGCTGCCAGCATGGCCCCAATGCTAGATGCCTGCAGTGTAGCGGTGCGGGCCCAAGTCGGGGGATTCGCCGATGTGAAAACCAGGGTCGCGGTTGCCAAGAGACCCCCAAAGCTGGCGGGGGCTTCTCCAAGCATGTTGTATATTTTAAGGTTGTTTTCTGTGTACCCCAGGTGCGGGGCAGGATGTTGCGAAAACATGTTTGGGTTGTGTGTGTGTGTGTGTGTTTCTTTTTTTGGGGGCGGGGGTCCGGTTTTTTGAGACAAGCCATTCAGACATGCAGAGGGGAGCCAGGGGATTACGGCCGTTAATTATTGCATGGGCTTGAATAGCACCAACCCCACCCAATTGGGGAGGGGGATGAACCCTAGGAAGACCAGAAGAGGGGAATTGGGACCCCTACTTGAACCCTCTCTCCCAGGCGATGGATGCAGTCAGTTGCTATGAGGCCGCAATGGTTCCCCTTGCGACTCTGAATCAATCCATCGTTTCATTCAGCCTAGCGCCTGGATCCTTCAAGCGACTGCAGTCCAATGCGTCCTTGTGGCACCCAAGGCGTTTGTTGTCTTCAAAATCCCTTGGAGAGATACAACCCCTGATACGAGCCACTGGAAACATATGTCAGCGTCCCTTCAGCAACCGTCGCCAGCTCCCTGTTCAGATGACAACCTCAGCCCAAGTTTTGACCTCGACTGTCTCCCCGTTGGCTTTGAGACCACATGCTTGGTCAGGCCGGGCCATTCCAGATGTACCTGAGAGCGCCTATGTGCGGCCGCCAAAGCCAGCGTTGTCTTGAAACGAACGGGAACGCCTCGCCCCCCCCCCCCCCACAAAAAGATTTGGCAGACTGAAGCCATCCAACAGTGTCCCTTAGGCTCAGAGGCTACAGAATCAGTTGGTAAGGGCTGAGAGACGCCAGTTGTCTACTCTACGTCTCGCTCAAAGCGAATGGACATTTTGGGCATTTGGCTTCCCTTCTCGTTTGCGTTTGGCTTGGTGAACCCTTTATTTCAAGGACGCGTCCCCGCGCCTCAGAAGCTTCTCTTCGGCTTTTTTATCCTCAGCTGCGCGTGGCACGGGAGCATACCGGGAAATGTAGAGCCACTCTGGAACGTGCAGAGTCAGCCGCATTCAACTCCTTGTCAAGCTGCCACAAAAACTCGGACATTTTCAAACTTGGACTGGTAGCAAAGAGTCCCGGCGGCTCCATTGCAACGGCTAGAGACTAGGCAGTAGTCAGCGCTCGCCGCGGTTTCGTACGGCCTGCGCCTGGCTTGAGGCGCTGGTAGACGCATGCATATGCAGGCATGTCATGCATATATATATATATATATATATATATATATGTTCCAGGCTTCCTTGGCCCCCCCCACCCCCCCCAATGGTCATGCTCAGTCAAGAAGGTAGCACAGTGTGACCGTACAAACCCCCCACCCCCCTGTGGGATGGGTGGGGGGGGGGTCCATGGTTCCCACCTTTTCCGGGAGAATGGTAGCACAGTGCGACCGCAAGCCTCCCCACCCCCTGTGGGATGGATGGGGTTGGGGTCACAGACGGTAGCACAGTGTGACCATGGTTCCCACACCGCCCGCCCCCCTGTGGGAATGGGGGTTGGGGTCTATAGTAGGTAGCAAAGTGCGTTTGCCACTGGCGCGTTGCAGCGCACTTGGGCTGAAAAAAATACCCTGCTCCTTTTCGTTATGTAAGGGGCCGTCCCTTAACTTGTTTCGCAGGCCAAAACCATTGTAAACCGATACAGAGGAAGAAAAACCGATACCCCCAGAAGCCATGAAGACACACATCAGGTCCAAGTTGTTGTCGCAAGCCAAGATCGTGGAATCATATATTTGCAGGGCCCAAACCGATACCCAAACCGATACCCAACCGATACCCAACTCAGTGGCCGCCACGCCGAATCCAACCAGCTGCCCTGCAGCCTTCCCTGGAGCTGCCAAAATGCACTTTGTGTACCACATTTGTACTGAAAAACTTACTTGCACTGAAAAGCTGCGATTTTCGAGCCGGAGCTGCCAAAGTCTACTGCGCATACTACTGAAAAGTTGCGACTTTCCAGCTGGAGCTGCCAAAATGTACTTTGCGTACTAACTACACTTGTTCTGAAAAGTTGCGACTTTCCAGCTGGGGCTGGGAGCTGGCAGAGTGTACTTCGCATACTACACTTGTACGGAAAAGTCACGACTTTCGAGCTAGAGCTGCCAAAACACTGCAAACCGATGCAGAGGAAAACAACCGATACTGACCGATACCAGGGCATAAGGATACAAGGGTTGTCCACGGGGTTGTTTTTTCAACCCACTTGGTTAGCACTTGGCTGCGGCGCTGCAAACTGCGTCGTGGCATCGCGCACTGTCACTTGCGACAGCGCTGCAACTTGTCGCGTGCTGCGAAATGAGCAAATCGCACTGCAGCGCAACACACGACCAGAGCCGCAAACGCGCCCGCAACGTGTGCGCACAGTGGCGCAAACCGCCCCACAAGCCCCTGCCCCCCCGCCCCTGGATGGGGGGGGGGGCTGGGGACGACGGGCGACGGGAACATATATATATATATATACACAAGACATTTTTCCTTTGGCAGACCTAGCGCGACAATAAAACAATATCATAAGTTCAGTTCTTGAAGTGCGAGAATACAACACAAGCTGTAAACCACTGGTTAAACTGAGTTCAAATGCACGAAGCGATGGCCGGCAGGGGAGTTCATTCTTGCTCTTCTAACTTCCTGAGCTGGCAGAAACATCGGCTGGACTGCTCAGGCATGTACAGTTGGCTGCGCTTGGCTGCACAATGTGTGTTACGTTTTCACACTCGCCCAAATCGATTCAACCTGATTTGACGATTTTGTCCATGTTATGTTGGCAGCTATGTCTAGTCATGTCCCGAGCATGTGTTGACTTTGTAGTTACTGGCATGAATTCTTGTTGTATGCTCCAAGTGTTGGATCTGGATAGAAGACTTCGGACTTCGGAAGGATTAAGCTCACGTGAGACGTTTCTGGGTACTATCTAGATTCGCGCAGCGCAGAGTCTGTCAGTTGAACATTTGCTTGCTTGCGGAAGCTTTGTCATATCGTGTCAGCTATGAAGATCAACAGTTGGTTGGCCCCCCTTCCAAATGAGGATGATGTGTGCGTCTCAATCTCGCAATGCATGCCGGCTCAAAGAAAACCCACAGAACACCACTCAGGGTATCGCTTGCCTGACTTCGCACTGTAGCTCCAACAGGGTTTCTTCTACTCCCGACTCAAGAATAACAATGGTACGTACCCCTTACACAATCCTGTGCAGCCGTTTGGGGGCAGAGGAAGCCATCGTGGATTGGCTTGTTTGCCCATTTCCGCCTTGGGCGATTGTCATGTCCAACCACCGCAGAAAGCTTCACTCCCTGCCCCCCTTGTCCAGTCCCCCTGTTCAAGAATGGCGGTTGATGCCACATTCCCTCGTCCATAGCTTTTGTGGGGAGGGAAAGCAATGTGTAGCATTGTTTTAAGGGAAGCAAAAGGGCGCTATTTCGGGGTTTTCATTTTTTGTCAAAATATCCAGCAGTCTATGGTCAACTTGGGAGAGGCATGATGCCCTTGACGGTAATATTGACCCCGGAACAGCACACCGTATCCCTACTCAAGGGTCACAGTTTCCTATTGATTAACCCAGGATTTATTCATCCGGGGTCCCCAAAAACTGCATATTTCCGATGGCGTTTACCCCATCTGAAGCCGAACCCATCGGTTGCCGTTGAGTCGCGATGCGTTCTTTGGCCAGATGAGGTCAGCTTCCATGAGGCTTACGCAGCCGGGCACTCAGGTTGCCCGTAGTTGGTGACGTGGAGTGGTGGCTTGGGGATTTTGAACTTGCTTGCTCCTGTAGAGGGAAACCAACCCGGAACCCAGTTAAAGTCCACTCCAACCCACCAACTAGAGGGAAGTGGACAAAGAATTGCCGAAAGGATGACAGATACCTCACAAGCCTCTTGTAAGGGCGTCAAGCTGCACTTTGAAGAACCATATAAGTTACTGACAACATGTGAGGACGAGAAGGGGAGCCCAACATTTCTCACAGAAACCAGGAAGCCCATCAGGGAGCCCATGCAATTGGCATGTCTTCTTGGGGATCCAAATGATGGGGCTCGAATGAAGCCTTTGAGAAGCCCAAATGCCTTTGTTCATGAGAGCATACAAAGGTCATCCATAAGCAACCCCTTTTGGAACAAGAGGCCTTGGAGAGCCTGATAGGGCTTAATATTCCTTAGTATAAGAGCAAGTGGGCCGACCCTCCTAGCGGGATCCCCTGTATTCGGCTTCATATTCTGTGCGGTTTATTCATAAACAGGTGGCAGTTTTCCACAACCACGATAGGCCAGGTTTTGCCTTCCAGCTTTGGCACAGGAAAATGTCAAAAGGGCTAAACCTGCAGGCGAGGCCCGCCAATCCCCCCCGCCCCCGTGCATGAGTTCATGGGAAACCATGAAAACCCAACAGGGCGGCGGACAAAAGCCATCCTTTCCTAATTTGCTGGCGCGGGGGCTTTGTACGGATCTCAGATGGAACCGGTTCCACTCGTGGCACTCTTCGGCCACGGGTCGCATTCCTGGGCTCGCACGTGCGTCTGCCTGACAAGTCAAATTCGCATGGCAAATTTGGGCAAGCTGTTTTCAGTCTGAGGTTTCTTGGTTCCATTTGAATTAAATGGTGAGGGCTTCATTGACCCGCACCTCCAAGCCCGCTCATGTTCGTGAAGATGGAGGAACCACCTCGCCAAATAAATGGATACCACAGGAAAGTGTGTTTGGGTTGGTTGCAGGACTGTCTTAGAACATGTGTCCTTTTTTGCAAGGTACAAACGCAGCCCAACGACTTTCCGCCTTCGTTTCCTCGGGCTGTGTTTTTTATGTGCCCCAGATGTGGGTCGAGTTGTTTTGCAAACACGTGACTTTCCCTTTGTCAGCTTTTAGGTTTTCCTTCACACTCAACAAATCCAAATAGGGCAACTTTTGGGAGGGAAACCCCGGCAAGCCCTTCAAACTCAGCCAGCCAAAAAAAGGCGAGGCCACTCCCTGTTTGTCCATGCTGTTCCCTAGTCATCCAACACAGTGAGGTGCAACACTCCGTTTTTGCGCAAAGTGCCGCCCATTGTCTTCTTGTTTCAAGATGTGAACAAAGCCCATGTTTGAACCCTCGGGAGTTTCTCTGTGTCCATGTCTTTGCCATTATCTTTGAAGCTTTTTCTTTCCAAGTCCTTTCCGTCAGGAAGTGCCTCACTTCTTGCGGCCCAGCGACCAGGAAGTGCGCGCCCTGAAGGCTGGGCACGCCGGAGTCGCCGTTGTTTCCCAGTGGTTTGGTTTTGAGAAATCGCTGGATCCACCTGCCTTGGTTTCCTTTACGGTCTTTCAAGATGCAGCCCACAAAGGCGAACCACGCCAACTCCTCCAAAATCTTAAGTAGACTAAATATGAAGCAGACATTTTCTTTTCTATGTACCCCAGGCGTGGGCCCCGCACCCAAGTTGAGGGGAAGTCGTGTTTTTGCTCCGAAGAAGAAGTTAAGCCGGAAGATCCCAGGAAAGGGGCCCTGCCCTGCCAGGTGCCCCAGCGCAGTCTCGCTGCCGGAGAGGCACGATGCGAGGGGCGCAGTTCTCTATCTTCATCAGGGGAACCCTCTGGTGGGTTCCACGTTAGTGGACGGGCGGTATTTATTTGTTAAGTTTGAGATCCAAAATAGCTAAACGCGGTGTGCCAAGAGCAGAGGCAGCTTCGTTTTGATAGCCTTTTTGGGCGTTTCATAGGACTGGGCTCAGTTTTTTGACTTCCCGCAACAGGAGAAAGCACCGCCCAAGCATGCCCAAAATATCCAAGTGAATGGGCCGAGCAATCGGGCAACCGATCAGAGCCCTCTTTGTTTGCCTTGTTTGGCATCTTTGCGGCGTGCAGATGCTTCGATCCTTGTCCATGGGCGTGAATCTCAGGTTTTTGTTGTTTTTCCTCTTTCTTCATTTTTTCGGTCTTTTTGACTGTGCTTGATTCTCACATTCCGGTCCGTTGACGCGTGTCGCTCCCGCTACAGGATCACTGAGCAGGCCCGACTTCACCGAGGGAAGGAACCACCAGTTGAAGAAGCAGTGTGTTTCATGTCCTGCGCGTTTCTCATTGAAACGTTTCGAGGTTGTTTCCGAGGAAGGCCTGGGGGCAACCACGCATGTCGGGGTTCCCTGATTTGGAGACAAAGCCAAAGGTCCCGCCTCTAGCATAAAACCTGCCAGAGGATCATTTGAATAGTTGGCAAATTACATCCAGGTTTCCTTGTTTGTTGGTGGGAGGGTAGGGGAACTACTGAACATCACCTGCTCGTTGGCTTGAGACGTGCCGTTTCCTTTCGGTGAGGTGATGTTTAAAGGGGGAAGCAAAGGGCGCCTGACACCCTCTGAAATCATGCTTCTGCAAGTCGAAGGGTATTTGGAGACGCGCAGTCCCAGAATAGGTTGATTGGCGTCACGCTCGCTGAGACATCCTCATGCCATGGCTTAAGGTTCATGGCTCGACGGAAGAGTGGCGGGTTTGAATTGCCTGCTTGCCATACCACCTGGTGTTCTGACTGGGCAGTGGTCGAATTTATTCACACGACTTACAACCCCCTTCAACTAGGGCGATCTTGGCAACTCATTTGCAGTGCCGCAGTTGGCCCTTACCCTATTCCAAAGAATGCGGGCGGCCACTTTTTTGTCGCGCATAAGCACTGCACGGCCTCCCGAAACTCATCGACCTCATTCCGCTTCTGGGAGCCATGACTATGCGGCAAATGAGGTTCGGTCAACTAAAGGCATTGGGGATATTGGGGAATTCGCTAAAAGTCAACCAACAGTGAAGTTCACCCACAGGAAACAAGGAAGCCATAACATTTTGGAACCCTTGCCTCACATGGCTCATTGGCGCAAAGCAGCAGGTGCAAGGGGATCATTGAAATCAGGCAGGTGTTGGGCAAAATAGTGCGTGCCCCTAACTTCTTGGTTTCCGTTGGTTTCATTTTGAGTACCCTGAGAACGAACCTTGGGGGGCCCTTTTCAGGGTGGGGCGCCTTTGTACTTTTTGCGGCCCCCTGCAGATCCACTTCTCCTCCTTTGCGGCCTTGGTGCAAGACCTGGGCTCAGGCGCGGCGCAGACGAGCCTCAAGCGGGAGGGTCTTTGCCATCCCTGGTATGTTGGGCCATGCCCTGGCTGCATGTAAAGGTTCACAACGAAGAGCAGCAATATGTCAATTCTAGCTGGGCCCAGAAGCAGGTAGGTTTCATACTCTTGAAAGTAAAGTACTTCCGAGTGTGCCAAGAGCGCGAGCTTCTCTTGCTTCTTCCACGCAAAAACACCCTTCGAGTGTGCCAAGAGGGCGCGCCTCAGAGGGCGCGCTCTTTCATGGATCCCCGTGCTTTAGAAAGCCTCAGGGAAGAACTGAGGCCCTCCGAAGAGCCCTGTGGGACTTTGGGGCTTGGGTCACGATTCGTCAAAGTGGTTAACCGCTGAACAGGCAAACCCTGACAGGTGCGAGCCCCATTTTGTCTTTGGATGTCTTTGGGTTTCTTTTGTCTGCTTCTCCATTTATCAACGCTTGCCATAGTTGGGTGAAAAGGAATAATTGTTGGACATGTTGCAGTGGATCTAGGAACAAATGATACATATGATGTTGTAGCATGTTGTAGCGCATGTACCTTGTGTCCCTTCTTCAAGAGTTATAGCTGCTGTAAAAGGTGCACTCTCCCACTCTGTGTCTATCTCATTGTAGGTGTATGTTATTTTGCTATGATTAGTACCTCCCCCAATTCATTTCTTAAGATGGAATTTTATGCCAAAAGGAACCCCGAACGGAAGGGCATGCCTGTCCAACGTCGACTGGCAACTGCTCAAGCAAAAATGATCCACATTCTCCGTCCAAACAGCAGTGGTGACCAGGCGGGAAACGGATAATGAGGGTTGTTGGCTACATAGGACAAACAACCTTGGGTGCTGAGATGGAACATATATGTTCACAAGCACACAGTATTTAGGGATTGACTGACGCTCTCTTAGTCGGGTAAGGGGTTATTGACCCAGAATGGCCATGGACCCGGGTGGTTGGGTGGTTGGGTGGTTCGGGTGTGGTTTGGGTTGGTTTAAGGTTTAGGGTTGGTTTAGGGTTAGTCGGGGTGTGGTTTGGTGGGTTCAGGGTTGGTTTAGGGTGGGTTTAAGGTTCGTTTAGGGTTGATTAGTTGAGGGTTGGTTTAGGGTTTGGGGCTACTTGGGGTTGGTTTACGTAGGGTTGGTTTAGGGTTGGTTTGGGGTTGGTTTAGGGGGATGGGTTAGGGTTGGGTTCAGGGGGTGAAAGGGGTGGGGGTCTGGGGACCGTAGCTGCAGGGCACATGGTGGGGGTAGGTGGCCTGGGGACTGGAACATATACAAAAATATTTAGATATCAGCTGACATGCGAAGACTTTTTGGCCAGGAGGCAGGGTGGCTGGGGCTTCCTTTGTGGACGACCAAGTGGTATGCCCTCAAAATGTTCGTGAGGACATATGCTCCATTTCACTTCCTATGGCTTAGTTGCAGGGCCAACCTGCAACCACTTTGCCGGTGCTCTGCGACACACGGGAGTCCCAAAACACGGGAACAACAGCACAATTTGCAGCGCGTAGCCGCAAAGGATGGACCGCACAGAGCTCACTTCATTTTGGACAGCCCGCATCTTACTTCCTGGAGCAATGACGCAGCGATTGTTGAAAAAACCGCTGAGGCTGTCATGGCAGGGGCCGGGGGTCCTTCGCTCTGAATTCATGGAGCGACGAAGCACGACTTCTGATCCAGTGGAGTAGGCTTCAGGCAGGTCTGGCAGCAAAGACTCTGTTTGCGCAGTGCCCTGTCAGTGGCCGCTTCAAAGCGTCGGGGCGCTTGCCGCGGCAACTGGCGGGCGAGGTCGTTATAGCGACACAAGGAACTTGCAACCTTTCAGGGCGCCTGGGTGGCGCCATATGAGGGTGTGCTACGCCAGGCCCTTCTAGAAACAGCTCATAGCAGAGCAGTTGTTGGGGGCCCCTTGGGGCAGCGGGCTAGCGCTTGAAGCGCGACGTTTATGTTCGATCGAGAAATGTGCTGTGCCCCGAGCCCCAGTGCCCCTTCAGTATGGGGTACCTCTTACTTAAAAGGGGACTCCGAGACGTGGGACCATTGGTCAGCCACTTTGGGAAGCCTGCGTACGGAATTTATGTTGTAGTACGCTCAACGCTTCCATGCGTGGCTGTCGGAAAAGCTACCCCTTTATTTCCTGTGTTGAGCCAGTTTGCAAACACATAGGCATAGCAGAAACCGCCCTCGAAGCCCTGCAATGCAGTGGCGATGAAAACTTGAGGAGCAGAGCCACGCGAGGTGCTCGATTCTTGGACCTGGGCAGTGGGACGGGGCGCGCTGTGGTGGCCTGGGCGTTGCTTAGGCCGGGCACTAGGGCGCACGGAGGGTGCAACGATGCTGAATGGTAGGTTGAATGTGCCACTACCTTATGACATCCCGGAGTATCGCAGAAGATGGACCTTAAACCACCTGTTGTCCACAACCATGTGTACGGTTCCATGTAAAAGAAGCACATGAGGGGCCCCGTACCCCAGAATTCCTCAAACAATCTCTCACTAATTAAGGGCGCCTATTGCGTTTTGTCTCAGAAACCAAAGCGAGGAACCAAAGACACAGACCTGACATGAACCCATCACCACTTGGTTTTTGCACCTTGGCTTGTGTTTGTGTTGTGACAAGCCAGCCTCCGCACCCCAGGTGACGTGTTCAATGCCCCACCCACAGAGTTTGCTTGAAGAGCACGAAAAGAGCACACAAAATGGTCCGAATAGCCCAATCACAAACCGCAATGTTCCCAAGTCCCGGTTTGCTCAGGTTTTTGACTATATAGGGCTGGAGTCGTCCGAATGGTCCCTGCATTCCGATATGCAGGGAGCGACCTCTTGGTCTTAGTGTGCCCTCACCAAAGCTTGGCAACGGCGGTCGCGTTGTTATTCGTTTATCGCGAAACTTTTGTGCCAGGGTGGTTTGGTTTTCCAAAAGGACGCTAACATGATGGTCAGAGGAGGGAGGATCGCAGCAAGAACACGTTGCTGCAATAACAAGCCGCGGCAGAAAGCAGCCCGGAGTTTTGCAGCTTTCTGGTCTTGCGTGCAACTTCCCAGCCATTTCGACGAAAGTCGGTGTTCGCCAACGGGTTTTCTGCTGTGCCGCCGGGTTTTCGAGCTGTAGAAGCTTAATTTGGGTCTTTGTTCGTAAAACAAATCGCTAATCTTGAGCCGGGACTGCAGAAGTGGTGTGCGTTTCTTCTGAATGTTGTGAAAAGAGCTCCGTGAAAGCTCCGCGATGGAGGTCGCGAAAGTTGCTCTGCGAAGATGGCGTTTTCGGGACCAAGGAAGAGCCGTAAGCGCAGGTTCTCCCAGCCATAAATTAGTGTGGCTGCCCTTTTGATTCTTCACTGTTTTTTTAGGTAGACCTTTTCAGGTCCAGGTTTGATTTTTGCTCAGATTTCGTTTGGTGTTTTAGTGCCTTCTTGCGCGACCAACCCTTATGATAATTTGTGCATTGAGTCCGTCTTGAGATAGGCCAGCTTCATTTCGCTTCTGGTCTTTTCGTTTCTGCTTCCCTTTGTGGAGTTAAAAGCACACGCTCCTGTGTGCGCACTTAGTTTTTGAATTCAAATTCGGTTGTCCATCCCCAACGTCCCGATCAAATCACATGAATTCCAGGCCGGAGGGCCATGCCACCGGCGTCGAGATCCGTGAGTTGTTGCACCTTCAGGCCGCAGAGGCAGGGTCTTAGCCTTTTGGGGTGGGCCCGGGCTCTCCGCAGATTCAAATGAGAGGTTTTCGGGAGTACGCCTTGACGCCTTGCTTGTTACAAACTGTTCTTGTCTTGTTGATACCTTGATTCAAACCCAACCATGCAGTTTGGCTGAACAAATGTAATCAGATAGGAGCCCCAGCCCCGTTTCAAATGAACAGCATATTGGAAACCCCGCAAGGGAACGCGTGCACCTTGTTTTACTCAAAGCGGGGTTCTAAAGGCAAACACCGGTGCCCCCATTTTGGGGGTCTTGAACATATTTTTTGGAAATGCCATCCATAACTTGTCCGCTTTTGGGGGGTTAAACATCACCCCATGCGCGAAGTGAGGTTCTGTGAGGTTGCTTTTGGCAGGTTGATGTGTTCAACACGTAGCTTATATAATGAAGCCCTGTTGCTGCATGAATTCGTGCCAAAGCCAGTGCGCCTTCTATTCCTAATTTGGCCAGCTTACACGTCATGTGTGTTGGGCATTTGAAAGTTGGCTGTTTATTCCCTGTTGTCGTGATGCTTGGGGACATATGTGCCATGGTCACAAGACCAGTTTGCTTGTGGGTAATAGGGACGGCAACCAACCCTCGATATGGAATGCTCAATTATGGTAGTTCATCTAGATATGTTGTTTGAGGAAGATGTGATAATATAATAATACATGCTTCACTTAGGAGGGACATGGGGGGACTCACTATTCCCACGATCAAACATAGAACCTGCACAGGGGTTCCTTGAAGACAATGCTCCTTTTCATCACCCATGTGCAGATATCATGTTTGTTGTTGGGCGGGTAAGTTTCTCACATAAATCAGGGGCGACTCATTCATGTTTCATCGTTCTCTTGCTGAAGCAGGTAGCTTTGACCGTGCTTCATATAGCCAAGACCTCGGAGTTTGTGTTTTGTTGAATGTCATGTTTTGTTTCTGCTGCAGGTGCGTGTTTTTGTGGCGTGTGTGTGTGTGTGTGTGTGGGTGGGTGCGTGCGTGCATGCGTGCGTGGGTTGGTGGGTGGGTGGTTGGGTGTGTGTGTGTGTGTCTGTGTCTGTGTCTGTGTCTGTGTCTGTGTCTGTGTCTGTGTCTGTGTGTCTGTGTGTCTGTGTGTGTGTTTTCCAGCTTTAGTAATTGTTGCTTCTGATTCTGCACGGTCACAGTTTGCACTTTGCACAACAATCTATTGCATGTGGGCGGGCGGGCGGGCGGGCAGGTGGGTGGGTGTCTATAAAGCATGATAGTGTTATCAGCATCTTTGATCTATTAGCACAAGCACACACACACACACACAAACACACACAAACGCACACGCACACGCACACGCACACGCACACGCACACGCACACGCACACGCACGCGCACGCACACGCACACGCACACGCACACGCGCACGCGCACGCGCACGGGCACGCGCGCACGCGCGCACGCGCGCACGCGCGCACGCACGCACACGCGCGCACGCGCACACGCACACACGCACACACGCACACACACGCACACACGCACACACACACACACACACACACACACACACACACACACACACACACACACACACACACACACACACACACACACACACACACACACACACACACACACGCCGCTGTGAACCTTGTTGCCTGCCACTGTGGGCAATGTGAACCATGGTGGGTAACGGTGGGTAAGAACTGATGAAGGCATGCCAAGACATGCCCACAGCGATTCAGGTCAACCACATACAACAAAGCTTAGATCGATTATTAATGAGTTCTTTCAGAACTTTACTTGGCCCGGGCTTGTGAACCGCAACATGTTGAAGCACATATTGGACATTTCACCCGTCAAGCACTCTTGGGTCGCTGAATCTGCACATTCTACAAGAATTCCAAGCCATAAATGAGGGATCCCGAGGAAATGATTTGCAACATGGTGATCTACGTCAGGTGAGATCGTGATAGAATAAGCCGACTCAATGCATTTGTTTTGCGGCAGGTGGCAAAGCGATTGCCGCCCGGTGTGCAGAGGCGGGTGCGAGAGAGCACCCTGACGTGGTAGGCACCGCGTGTAGTAAGGGACAGCGAACCTCAACTACACCAGAGTGAAACCAGATGGCGTTACTTTTGTTACAGGGGTAAGTCAATGGGATGTCTAAACCAACAGGAGTGCAAGGGAATTGTGCCATCTACTTTGACCCAACTGCAGTTACATGACCACGGAAGTTTCTTCTGAACTTTAAAGGGCCTGAAGAGTTAGAGTGGGGTCGTAGCGGACTTCACTCCATATTGAGGCATGAACACAAGAGGATAATGTGTGCTTTGTTAGCCCTCCGAACCTTTAACAGATGCTCAGAGCCCAAGGGCAGACATGTTTGTTCTCAGTTTCTACGCACCTCTGTGCCGATCGGGTCAGCGAAGTAACCCCGGTACCTGTTAAGTGGGCAAACTTTGTGTTGGGGAATATGCGATCCTGATCGATCCTGTTGAGTTGACAAACTTACTTTCAACTTGTCCAATTGCAAATTCCTTGTGTCACATCACCGGGACACCACCGGCCCACCATCGAACATCCCACCAAAACACCACCGGAACATGACCAACAACGCAACGGGACACCACCAAAACACCAATGCAAGCACAACCGGGACAACGCCAGGCACAAGGCCAACACACAACCGGGACACAACCGAAACACAACCATGACATCACCAGCACACCAACAAAACACCACTAAATCACCAGAACCACCTGCGGGACACCATCAAAACACAACCGGAACACCATAAGCACTCACACAAGGCACACTGACACAATACTAAGACACCACTGAAAGATGACCGGGACACCACCGCACCGCAACACCACTGGGACACCGCCAAAACACAACTGCAACACCACCGCGTCACCACCGGAACACAATCACCTCTGGGAAGCCATCAGGACAATACCGGAACACCACCGGGACACCACTGGGACACCGAGAAATTGCCAGGCCACCGACCCCGGAAAAATCACACGCACGAACTCTGACCAGGTTAGCTGGATGCTGCTCGTTGGGGCCACGGTAGTAGAATGACAACAACTCCCTGAGCTCCTGGACGTTATATTTTTAGGGGCGCACCATTCTAGCAACAAACAAACACTTTGGACCTTTTGTGGTTCATCCACTTCGGAAGTGAGCTGTACCCTTTGACTTTTTAAGGATCATCCCTCGGATGATCCCTCCAGTCTCGATTGTTGTAAATGATGGTCCGTGCCCTTGGCGCACCGTCGGCTTTCATTTGACGGGGCCCTAGTCCAGAAAGGCTTTGTTATTTCTTGACATCATCCATCACAGAGTGCTAGGCCCTATCGTGGTTGCATTCCAATAGTTCAAGCATATACTGAAACTTATTGTTGTAAGGGTCTATCATTTTGTGTTACACGACAGACACGCAGTGGTCAAAACATACTCGGCTACGATGCTCTGATGCAGAGTGGCGGGCCCTTCGCCTCGTGGCGAAATGCAATGGCTTAGGTCACCTTCCGTCCTCTGAGTGGCCCGACATCTTTCACAAACTTCACCTCCGGCCTATGGTGGTTTGCTTTCGTTTGATGCTTTGGACGTTTCGCCTTCCTCATTTTTTAAAAGGAGCTGGGATTGAAATCCCAATCCACCAATCTGGAGCCAAAAGGAGATGGATGTTTGCTATGTTATCCGAGCCCTAGTTGAAACCACCAATGAGGGGTAGCACGCGCGTGCCAGGCGCGTTCAGTTCCATTGCGGCGATCTCTTCGAGTACAACCTGGCAGGACAGGGCCTGGGAGAATGGGGGCAGACATTGCTTCAAGAAAACGAAGCCAAACATGTTACACTCGTTTACTCGCATAGGGTCACCATCACCAAATGTTTTTTGGAAAGTATCCCGCGACCCGATTCTGCGCAGTGAGCCAGATGTTCCTTCGATTTCCCCTAAGGAGATAGCTCATATGTTTGCTATTTTTTCTCAGAAGGAATCCACAAGGACACTTTATGTTTAGGGTTTTTCCAGACGCCTGTTCAACAATCAGTCTCCAAATAAGGCCTGAATCAGGCCTTGTTCAGGCATTTGCAGGAAACCTGGAACAGGGCTGTTTGGGAGGGGTGGATTTGGAGCACCGTTTTTGGAAAGGCATACATTTATATATATATATATATGATGACGTTTGAAGGGGAGCCGACCAGCATGCAACCCCAAATATGAGTTTAGAGGAATCTTACAATTGTAGAAAGTGGGAAGACCACGCATTTGGCTCGTGTGATGTGGACTCCAATGCAATGAAAGCCACCAGCTATTGTTTTTGACACTCAGGCTTACGGGTGTTCTGGACAAGTGTGCTTAAAGCAACCTGCTAGTGCGTTTTACACTTTCAATTAACTTGTTTTGCCCAAAGACTGCAGAGTTAGCTCTGATGGCAGCTCAGGAGAATCGGGCTACGCTACCACTTTGAGGTCCCAACTGGTAAGAAGCACGGAAGATGGTCTTGTGTGCGGTATGCAATTCCAGTGTTTGGTAAAGCAGTGAAGTATTTGCCAAACTGTACAGTGTCAGGCAGGCCTGGGCGTGTTTTGCTGGGGAATAAACAGCCGCGAAAATTAGTAAGCAGGCTTGAGCCACGAAGTTGCAGAGCAGTATGTATGTTGTTGTTCTCTGTGAAGCAGCAACACCAAACGAGTAACAAATGTGCCCGCTCATACGGCACTAGAAGGGTCAAACCACCGGGAGTCGTGGGCTGACGGCAACTTTTGGCGGGGATTTCCACGTCAACCACCAAGTGTGGATTTTAGGCTTTGATCTAGGTTTCGTGGAGGATGGTCTTGGAAAATTTGTTGCCCAGTAGGGTTCCAAAGTGTAAAGACGAAGTGGGTAAAATTCGCAGCTCGAGCCGGGATGAAACCCTGGGGGGTGTTCATGTTCAACACAAGGTGCCCTGGGCTCAAGACTTGTCATGGAAGTGCGGAACCCTGGAGATGGCCATTTTACGGATCACACTCCGAGTGATCGGAATTAAACAAACTGACTTGTCCAAGGCCAAACTTTAAACTTTGAGCTTTCATGTCATGTGTTGTTTGCGTTTAGTGGCGGAGGAATCCAACATAAACAGCTTAAACTTTTGAAACTTTGGGTATGTGTCAAATACGGGAGCCTAGACATATTGGGTTACTCTTAAGGTTTCCTTTTAAACCAACCCCAAAAAGGGTACCCGCGGAGAAAAAAAAAACAAAAAAAACGCACACACACACACACACCCACGCACCCACGCACGCACGCCCGCACGCCCGCCCGCCCGCGCGCACACGCACACGCACACGCACACGCACACGCACACGCACACGCGCACGCGCACGCGCCCGCGCCCGCGCCCGCGCGCACACGCGCACACGCGCACGCACGCGCGTGCACACAGACACACAGACACACAGACACACAGACACACAGACACACACACACACAAACACAATCGCAAACCCAAACACAAACACAAACACAAACACAAACACAAACACAAACACAAACACAAACACAAACACAAACACAAACACAAACACAAACACAAACACAAACACATACACAAACACATACACATACACATACACATACACATACACATACACATACACATACACATACACATACACATACACATACACATACACATACACATACACATACACATACACATACACATACACATACACACACACATACACATACACATATACACATACACATACACATACACATACACATACACATACACATACACATACACATACACATACACATACACATACACATACACATACACATACACATACACACACCCACCCACCCACCCACCCACCCACCCACCCACCCACCCACCCACACCCACCCACCCACCCACACCCACCCACCCACACCCACCCACCCACCCACCCACCCACCCACCCACCCACCCACCCACCCACCCACCCACACACGCGCACTCGTGAGCAAATCTTTCGCGCAGACGCTGACGTCATCCTGGTGAACAGCACGGGCTTCGATGATGCACTTATGCTCCAGATTGGCAGGCGCGGGGAAGCCGCCGGCGTTTGGAGACCGGGAGGCGTTTGTCCACCTTCCTTTAATGCATTGTAAGACTTTGCAAGAAACAAAGCCGACCTTTCGAGCTTAGCTTTCGCCTCATTCTTTCAATAGGCGGTGCCAAAATGACGCCGACCCAAACGGGGGAATGGGATGGGATGTTTGCACGCCGCTTGCATTGCTTGCATTTGAAGGTAATGTTGATCCCGGATTGAGGTACAGGGGAAAGGGTTGTGTTTTGAAAGGAATGATGGTTGAGCAGCATGGGCAACCCAGCCTAGAATTCAGGCAGAGCTACTCTTTGAGCATGTGCCATAAGTTCGTGCGTCCTAATCTTGTTTGACATCAAACAATGCCACAGTGGACAAAATGGCTATGAACTTTAGTGGGGAACTACTCCCTGAAAAATGGTTGGTCGACACACATCGCAACTTCACTGATGTCCAAAAATATTCCCTAAGTAGAGCTTATACCCATCAAACAATCCCAGACCTCCAGTTTCCTTGCTTCCTTTGTTTGGAGAATGACGGAAGTTGCTGTCAAGGTCCGAAGGCCCGTGGGAGCAAATTGTAACGAGCAGAGGACCGGTCCCTATTTGTTTTGCCAGGCAGCCCTCAAAACCTTCCTCACGTATCTTACAAGTTTTTCTGGCGCAAACTTTGTTGCGTCCTGTACTCGTTTTTTGTTGTTGGTTTATTGCTCTGATTAGAAGTTAAGCTTTTCCGGCCAGCAAATCATAGAAGCCACTTACAATCAATTCCACAGGAAGTTAGGTGCAGACGGACCAATCGTGAGGGTTTGTTCTCGCTGCAGAATCTTGTGTGACTGTTTTTGCAAGTTCTGGCCGCTGGCCAAGCCACTAGTCATGTTTGGTCAAATTCCCAATCCGAATCAGCTAACCTGCTTGCTCCCTTGGTGGATACAGACTTGGAATGCTCATGGCTGTTTGGAGTCAACTCAGAGGCAGCTTACCGCAGACCTTTCGGGCCGAGATGCTTTGACGCGCTTGTCGCCGGGCTGAGCGAAAGGCACGCGCCTGGGCAGTGGGGCGGGTGGCTACGGTGATTGTGTTCAAGTGGGAATTGATTGATATTCCTGGACCCCACATGACCATGGGTGAGGAAGTCATTTGGTTGGCAAGTTGTCCTTTTTCCCGAATGGTTATCCCATGTAAGCCTTTTGCTCAGCCCCCAACCATTTGTTCAATCAACATATTCTGCACATGGAAATCCACTGGAGGGCAGAGCTTTGTATAAGCACAATGAGCAAGAGTGTTTCCAGCGCGACTGAGGCGCAATCACAAGCTGCGGATAAATCTACCGTAGGGGCAGTCTCAGCCAGAAAAGGTGCGGATATTTGCCCTTGCGATTCTTTGCATGGATTGGGGCAGGCCCCTTTAGTGCATTGACTCACTTGAAGTAAGCTAATGTACTGTACAGGGGTCCTCTTCAAGGGGAAGCCCAGATGTCACTAATATGTGCATGCGCGTGCAATCCGTTCGCCCTCATTTCCCCCTGCGACCTATCAATCATGGTGGTTTTCCCAGACTTCCTCGTCCACCCTGCCCTTCCCTTTTTAAGGGGTCTCCAACATCGTTTCCGCTTTATCGTTTCCGCTTTGATACTTCAACACCTGTGAAATGCAATGTCAATCAGAAGCTATATTTGCTGTCTACTGTTCCAATGCGCATTGCGAACGCACACAGGGTTAGTTTTTAGTCGAGCCAAACAAGTGAGCCTTTAATGGATTGGGTTCCCAGCAAAAACTGGCAGCAAGTGATTTGTTGCCTGTCATCCCCTTTGAATTCATGCAGTAGTCGTTAGTCGTGTGGATGGGCATCAACCTCTTTGGGCCACTGATCACAGAAAGGGTTATCCAGTAATCCAGCCATGTTCCACAACCCAGTTGTATTTTTGTTTCATAGGGAGCGACAAAACGCCCATCTCCGAGTCGCGTTCTGAGGCAATGCACAAGTACCGGCTTTTGTCCAAGAAGGGCGAGGGTACCTTTTCGGAGGTGCTGAAAGCGCAGTCCATCAAGCGGCTTGGAGAAGGAACTTGGCGCCGCTTCATCCGCCACAGCTGAACTGAGGTTCGGTCAAATTTCATTTACACCAACATAATGTGGATCACATTTGGCGCACTCACACTTTCTACTATCGGGGATCACCAAACTCCAGCGTAGTTGGAAGGAAGACCAAATTGAAGCAAGTTTTTGTTGGGTCCTATTACTTGCTGGTTCTCAGTAGGCAATGGGGTAACGACCCCGTATGCATCCTAAACACACTGAAATTTGACAGTGTCTCAAGTGAGGTCCGGTAAGCATGTGGCGATCAAGTGCATGAAGAACACCTTCGACAGCATCGACCAGGTGAACAACTTGCGGGAAATTCAGGCGCTTGAGCCGTGAGCCGGATTGGGATGTTCATACCCTCACCCAATACCCATTTTTCAAGGCATCATGGAACCGGGCCCATTGAAAATTGCATTTGGTGTAGGGGGTACACAAAAGGCCCCTTGGAAGGTCCCTTGTCTCTGTTGGAATCAGCAAGTCCCAACCTGCCGGGATGTTGTCCTTGGACATGACCTTCACCCCTGCTATCCCTTTTGGGCTAATCTCTAACCACCATCCGCAAGACACGGATCACTTTTTTTGCAGTGAGTCAACTTTGGACCAATCTAAAGGGGATAAGCTTAAGAGGCGGCCCCGGTGAAAAGGAGCACCTCGCAGCTTCGCAGAGACCGAAAAGAAAGAGCGAGCAAGCCCAGGTTTGTTGCCGCTCCGAGGGAGCTTGATTGGTAGAGCTTCTCGACTTTAGCATGTCTAGACGGTCTCCAAGCCCCCCTTGCAACAATCTTACACATACCACCTCTGTGATTTTGATAGCACTTTGAGGTGCCCTGTTAAAAAGAGATGTTCGTTTGAAATCAACCAACGGGCAGTTTGGTCCCCTCAACTCAAAGGGGGTTTTCATGTTCTGCCTCCAAACCTCCAGCCGATGATCAACACAACTACACAGGTACGTGGCATAGCTGGGAAGGGTTAACACCTATACTTGGATAATATAAAGGGCTCAAACATTACAGACGCACGCACACATTATTTGCTACTACTTAAAGCCTGCTACGAACGGAAACGGAACCTTGTTATGAAGACTAGAGTAGAGCGCAACACCCCATTCGCCATTTTAGTAGGTACGTGGTTCTGCTACCTGGTTTTGTGAAGGTCAAAGTAAGGGTTGCACAAACCTTTATTACGATCTTGGTAGAACCAAAGCTCGACGGGTTTACGGCGCGCCTTACTTGGCAAGCAAGTCAAGATAAGAGTACTGTGTTGACCTCACTCAGGCCTGCTGGGAATTGGCATGCAAGAACTGAGTCGGCTCCCCATTCGCAAATGAACGTGGATTCCAAGAAGGGGGCGCTTTCAACCCAAAAGGAGATTTGGGGAGAAGAGCATCCCTTTTGAAATGAAACAGTTCTGGCCGAATGAACCTGCTGAGATACACACTTTCTCTCACTTTCCCGCCATTTGTTTGAGCTTTGGGCTTCTTCTGGTTTTGGCCCAAGGAAAGTGGCAGAGCTGGGCCAATTAGGTTTTCCAGTCGTCGGTTTGGTTTAGTCTCATTTCTTAGGGTATCCACTGCCCTCAAACCACTGCCCGTAATCACTAACCCCTAGCCTTAACAACACAAACCCCCAGCCACATAAAGCCCTAGGCACGTTGATTCGCAAGCACATTTACACCTAAGCGCTACATGGGGTACATACCTCTTGTAGCGCCGAAAACAAAAAGATTGGGAAGTGTAGTCGCTGTGTCTTTGAGCCTCGCCAACCCACCCATAGGCCTTGCGGCGCCTTGCCGGACATCCCAACATCATCAAGCTCCACGTGCCTCGGCCTTGTGGCGCCTTTTCCGATCTGGGTTTCCTTTGGCATCCCTTTGCAGGGTTGCCAGTTGTTTTACATTTGCGGATTCGACTGGGTAAATGCCCCAGCAAGTGCGGATATCCGGCCTTTTGATCCTTATGACATTTGATCAGACCCTTTAATACCAGGTGTTGAGTATGACTCGCCTTTCTCCTACTCCGAGGAGATACTTTATGATGAGCCTACTGGACGCCTTGCGCTGGTCTTCGAGCTCATGGACATGACCGGGCCCCAGAGAGTTGTGGATTGATCAAGCGGAATTGCAGATTAGCGGATCCGCAAAGCTGCCGTCTCAGCCATAGGATCGCATGCAAATCATAGCGAGCTCACTGATCCAGAAGGCGATGGGTCATTTGCGAATTGTCAGGACACCCTATTTAACACCAACTTTCGGCATACCAGTGGAGTTCCCCATGTAACTGAGAAAGTAGACATGGGCATGGGAATCCACCACTTTGGTACCATAGAAAGGGGCGAATCTCTACACACACACAAACACAAACACACACACACACACACACACACACACACACACACACACACACACACACACACACACACACACACACACACACACACACACACACTGACACTGAGCTTCCACAATCTTGTCCCCTAGTAGGCTGACTCGTCCAAAGCCAAACTGTCCAACGTTGAGCTGGTATTTGTTGTCTTCGTTTAGTGGCCAGAACCAAAAAGACAGTTTGAACTTGTAGAATCCTTGGATTTGAACTTTAGACGTTTGTCGGGGACTCGGCGACTGGACTGTCGATATCATCATCATCCCCGCTTACGGGAAACTTTCGAGTGGATTTGATGGAAACCATCAAAAATCCTTGCTCCACACACGTGGCACATACCTGGACGATGAACTCCTGAGGGACCCTTTGTCAGGCGGCATGTTAGAGGGAAGTTGTTTTTCGCAAGGCTCAACACCGACTTCCTGCGGCTTGCAAAAAAGTTGCTTTGAGTCTTGATTGTAAAATAGTTGTGCGGAAAGACAAACAACACCGATCCTGTGGGGTTGAGATCGATTCCCAATGGACCCTACCTTGCATGTTGTTGGGTTGGACCTTTAACATTCAACTTCTTTAGAAAACGTGTGTGTAGCCCCACTAACCTCTCCAACAAACATATTCACTTTTTGCGGGAGGGTTTTAGCCCCGCAGCTCAACGCGACCTTGGGACTGTTGGGCCGACTGTTGGGTTTCCGAATGCGTCTGGTGACAGGAATGTCTACGAAGCCATCAAGGGGCGAAGACATTATCTGCCGGAGGCGAAGACAAAGCACTACATGTTCGATGCCTGGACGAAATTCCTGAGCTCGCGTCCAGTAGTACTCCGTTCACGACTCGATGATGGGCGTGCTTGTGTTTTTGGAGTTGGTATCCTTTTCAGGTCGGCTTGAAGAGCAACAACAGGCAAACACCCATGGCGGGTTGCCCTATTTTGACGCCTACCCGGATGAGGTACTGACAATATGTTGTTAAAAGAGTGAGTCACTGATGAAGGAGTGGTTTCCCTTTAATGTTCGGTTGAACCCTCCCCAGAAACGGTGCAATCTGTTGAAAGTTATCACAAACGCCAGGGGATCACCCTTTTTTTCCAATTTTCCTGCGTCCTTCTGGGGAAGAACTAATTTGGTCCGGGCTTCCCATAGTACCCCGAGGCCTAGGGACCCTCCCCATAGTATCATAGATCCCTCGGCAAGGCCTGAGTGAAACGAACAATCGCCTTCCCAAGAGCATCTCTGGGGGTTCCCGAGCGAGTGGGATGTCCCTGGTGTGGGGGAGGGGGTGGAGGAGGGGTTGCCAACACCCGCATGTTTTCAAACAGAAAAGACTCAGCACGGCGGAAACGAAGGTTCAGTTCGGTGTTGGTTGGCACCTTCCTTGAATATCAGCAAAGGGCTAGCCCTTTTTCATAGGAACCCGCTGGGCAGCTAAGAAACCGCCATCCCATAGCCGCTTTTTTGGAAAGGCCGAAAGATTCGGGACATGTGAAGGCAAATGGATTGGGTAATTCTCACATGTGGTGTTTAGTTGCGCAAGTTCAAAAAGGACATTAGGGCTAGTCATTAGACCCTCTACACCAGAGTGATTCTCAGAGCCCTTGCACCCTTCTTGAGTTGTGGGGCCCGAAATTTCTTCATTTTTGGTTGTCCCCTCTTCGTCATGGGGCAACCAGTCCAGCGCGTCTGGGAAGGTGAGCATTTGACGGCTCCAAACCATATTATGGGAGGTTGTCAAAGTGGTGGATTCCCTTGTAGTTACTATTTTCAAGCACCCCATATTTTGAGAAACACCGATATACCTCGCGTGTTTTCTTTGTTTGGTCTCTAAACGCAATCGGGCTAACGTCAGAGCACACCCTTCGACGAGGTATATAACATAGCCCTTGCACCTGCAGGGTTCGCTGCGGGGGGCCAAACTCCACTTGTTGAGATGGATGAACCCCCATAGTGAGATAAACCACCAAACGGGTGCAGGAATTCGTTCATCCACAGTATGTGTCCCCTTCTGGTGGTTTTAAGCATGACTGTGCAGGCCCTGCCTTAACTGAGTCCTGGTGGGTTCAAGAACCTCTTTAAAGGCACCTTAGCTGTGCCATTCATGATCCCATGCAGCTCCTTGTCTTGCTTTCTTTTAGGGAATAGGTGAATACGTAAACTGTCCTCATGGGAATTTATTGATAAATGTTCGTCCAGGAACATGTCCATATACGCGTTTACGCCCCCCCCCCCAGCACCAATTTTGCTTGCGATGTGATTTCACTTGAATGCTATTGGATTGGATATTTAACTCTAAACTTGTGTGGGACAATCATTGTGTCCACCAATTTAACTTGTGTGGGACGATTATTGTTTCCACCAACCTGCAAGAGTTAAACTTTTGTCAGGTGGTAGTAGCCATTAAGTTCAGGAAGAGTCCAGAGACTTGATCCTCACATATTTGACAGGTGTACAAAAACGGATGTGAGGTAATTGTTTGAATCAAAGGTTCTCGCTGTAATTGTCCCATTATGAATCCAGGGATTCTGCCTCCCTAAAACGGCAACAACCGAGGAACACAAGTAGAATCTTAGTTCATTCTTGTACTTGAATATTATTTGTGGAGTTGCAATATACCTAGAGCAAGCTCAGCGGAAACTTAGTGGAATCTTGGTGGAGTCTTAGTGAATCTACTGGAATCCTTGTGGAATGTAAGTGGAATCCTACATTGAAACAAGGTGGTACCTTAGAGGAATTGCCGCGGAATCTTAAGTGGTATCTTAGTGGAAGCTTAATGGAGTCTGAGAGGCATCTTGCAGGAATCTTGATGGAGTCTTAGCGGCATAATATCAGTGGAGTCTTGGCGGAATCAGTGGAATCTTAGGCGGAATCTTCGCTGGAATCTTGGTGGAATCGTAGGGAATCACAGTGAGATATCAGTGGAATTACAGTCGAATCTTGGTGGAATTGCTTTTGATCTTAGGAGATTTTGAAAGGGCTCGACCACATGCACCGCAACGGCATCTTCCACAGAGACGTGAAGCCTGAGAATCTTCTGCTCCTCGACGACGAGGCGCTTCGAGAAAACAAATCGAAGCGAGAAGTAGCACTATCTCCGAACAAGCCTTATTACGGGTTTAATGGCAACCTAAACATAAATTTCCTGTGGACCCCTGATGGGCCAAGCTCGGTCCATGGCCGTCAGATCAAGCTGGCTGACCTGGGCAGCTGCCGGGGGATCTACTCACGCCAGCCCTTCACCGCCGCTCGGTTGAAGCTTGGGTCATGTTCGGCTCACCGGGCAAGATGAATGTGGTATGTCTCGACCCGAAGGGGATTCTTCCCGCCCCTTCTCTGCAGTTCCCCAGGCCTCCCGTGCTGCCCCTTGTGTGCTTTTCTGGAAGTAGTGTCCTCAACAACCCAAAAATCGGTTGCCCACCTATTGCCCCCTTTGTCTTTGTTTTTGGGGGCATGTACTTTTATCGCAACATGTTTAATTTCATGCCAATGCCCAACGCGGCATTTGGCTCAAGCTTTTTGTTCCGGCAACCCTGCTTGCAATCACGTCGGCGCCTCAACACGGCGACCTGGAGCTCTGCAGCAAAAGGCGCTGCGGCCCTCTCTGGTTGGTGTTGGTGTTGCTGGTGGTTGGTCAGGACTTGGGATTGGGAACGGTGCGCAATTGGTTTGCTTTGCTTGCTTCGCTGCATTGTTTGCCTGCTTGGTTTGCTGCTTTGTGCTTGCTTTCGGTTGTCTCTGCCCTTGCTGGGTTCATTCATCATTTGGTTAAAGGCACCCTTTTGGTTCGTGTTTGTGCCGGCCGAGGGCACCCGCTTTGCCCTTGGGACCGGGGGGATAAGGTGGTCTCTTCTTGTTGGTGGGTTAGGGCCTGTTTTATCCATCCCGAAACTCTGTTTCAAACCCTTTCGCAGGTTATCAGCCGTAGGATTCGTCCTCGGTTGGCACCGCGAACCCCATTTAATAACAACCCTGCAGGCGCCGTTTTCCATAGGCTACTGTAGGACTCATGGCGGGAATCACCGAGGATGGACCTCATGTGGTGACCGATGAGTGGGTTCTCGGCCAGGCCGGAATCTTGGACGTTGTGAATGACGACCAAGTGCCCGGACAGCCGATGTTTTCCGGTCCTGACTTTTTGTCGGACCACACTTTTTCAGAAGCAATGCCTTCAGGAAGGTCCAGTGCTACTCGCACTGATGACCTATCGTCTAATGCCTCAAGAGCTAATCGCTCTCAGGGTCATGGGGCTAATCGTCCTGACCATGATGATTCCGTCTCAGGACGTGATGATGACGAGCCCGGTATTGCACCTGGAGCTCAATCCTCATCTTTCCCGGAGCTGATGAATATTGGTCAGTCCGAGTTTCGTGACTCTCGAAGTAGCAGTAGACCTGTGCCAACCAGCAGTATAGTTTTTCAAGCGCTCGGTAATCCCGAACCTGGTACATCCAGTGGAGTTGCATTTGACGTTCATCTGCCGACCGAATCCGGTGGGCTCGATTGGAGAGCCTCATGGCCTAACGACGGAAACATTTTTGGTATGGATTTTGCCGCATGGATGCCAGGGCCACCCGCCCCGTCATCTTTTCCACAATTCCAAAGCCCAAAACGGGCTGCTGGAAGCGATGAATTCATGCTACCTTTGTCGATTGAGAATCTCAATCCTGACGTGGCCAGCCGTAACGTCAGGCCAAGACCGTCGGTAAACCCGACCATGAGGAACATGTCCCCTCCCCCAGGACTTTCAGGATTTGAGAGCCCTAGGGAGCGTAATATCGTAGATAGATTGGATTTGCATCCCAGTCCAACCCCAAGCAAACGATCAAGGTCAAATTCGACTGGATCGTATAGGGCAAGGGGGATGGATCGGGAAACTGCCCACAGGGGTAACCCCAGTGCGCGGGACTCAGGACGCGGTCGATCAGGCGATCCCGCGTCGATTGTCGGTAGGGATCCGCTAAACGCGGACACGTTGATTAACGTGCTTGATGGGATCGAAGCATTCCAGGAGGAATTCAATAGGTCGAGTGGCCCGAATGTACAGCCTGTTCGCCCTACGCCCAAAGCGGCTTCCTCTCTCGCCATTGACAACACAGACGGAGCTGACGTTCCGATTGAGTCCGAGTCTATGATGGCATCAAGTTCCAATCACAACAACACTGTCAGCAGCGCTACCGATGTTGAATCAATGTCTGAGTCTAGAGCGTCCAATGCGACTGATCTGCATGACGTTGTCATTGCTGATATGAAGCCTGAGGTTCCTATGCGGACTGATAGGCCGGTAATTCCCAAATTGTTTGTGACAAAGGGTCTAGGCATGCCACAGCCATCAGCTGTTCGTGATGCCAGAAGATCTGCACCGTATCAGAGTCAGTCTCCGAATCGGAGCGAATTCCCACGGCCATCAACGGCGGTACAAGATGATTTCAGGACACCTCCGAGATCTAATCCGATCATGGTTGATTTGTCCACTCCTCGAGATCGCGGATCAGGATTTGGTCCTGCGAGTGAGGAGCAACCCAACGAGGTTGCTGATCTTGTAACAGCCCTTGAAAGAGGGAGAGTGGACTCTTCGGTAAGTGCGATCATTCATCGCCTGGTTGCTAAGGTCGAAGACCTTGGGCGTAGGAATGATAGAAGTGATCAATGCATCAAGCAGCTCTCCACTGAGGTTAACTCGTGGAGGGCCAAATACGACCAATGCGTCCATGTGAACAGCACGTGTACGCAGGCTGCGAACGCGGCCATGCAGCTGTCACAAGGGACTAAGGACATCGTGACCGAGCTTGGCCAACGCGTCAAGATCGTTTCCAATCGCATGATAAGCATAGGCGATGCCCTAAATGAGAGAGCCAGCTATGATGATGTTGCTCGCTCCATCACCCAAGTTCAAACTGTCTTTGAATCTCTTTCTGATCGAGTAACCGGGCTTATAGCTCGTGTTGATATGATCGAGAGATCTCTAGTGGAGAGCCAATCCAACCATCCTGCGATTGGTGGAGTAAACCTCAAAATCGAGGACCTGTCCACTAGGGTATGTCAAATTGATAGGATGATGCAGGATGTCGAACAATGCTGGACAAATAATAGGGACGGCATGAAGTGGGTTAAAGACCAACTTTATGAAACACAAGCCAACCTTGAGATAAAGTCAAGGGACTGCAAATCCTACACGGACAAGCAAAACACTCATAACATGGCCGTTTCGACTACGCTCAACAGTAAGCTCGAGCAAATGCTCGAGGTGCTGGGTAATACGGCCCAGAGAATCAACTCCCTCGAGTCAAGGCACTCGAACCAGGCATCAAGTAGTGGATTGAACGATCGCACAGGAGGAAGGCGTGCCGCGTCCCGTACTCCGGATAAGCGGCCACCTCCACCTGGTCCTCCTGATGATGATCCTCCACCACCTCCTCCTCCTGATCGGCAAAGCCCAGGAGGAGGGGGGAAGAAGAGTGCTGCCGGTGGGAACCCTGGCGACCCTGGTAGACCCAGGTGTAAATACGTAGGTGATGGAAATAATCACCTCATGGCTGAGTTTCACTGCAAAGGATGCAGAGGTGATATTTGTGAGTATTGTTTCTCATTCAAAGAGAACTTGTGTGAAGAATGTTCCCGTAACGGACCCCGATGCGGTGTCTGTAGGGAGAGCTCGTTCCTGACCAAGGGAACTGAGTGTCAGTTTTGTAGGACCTACTACTGCACCAGACATTCTGCTGGGCAGGATGACTACAGGAGATTTGGATTTGTCCAGGGTCCCTGTTGTCTTGCGTGCCTTAGGGACGAAACTAGGAGAAGAAGGGATCCCGATGGTAACCGTGTCAGGAATAGATCTCCTGGAGGCGCACCTGAGACGAACCCGACGCGGTCGTACTCGCCGCCTCTGCGGCCACCCGTTGACAGATTCCGTGACAATCCCACTGGGGGTCAACCCAACGCGGCTGACCTTCAGAGCCCTCCGAAGGCTACGCAACCCATGCCCCTGGATAAACGTGAAACCGGATATTATCCAGGATTTGATCCCAACGGTACAAGGCCGAAGGATCCTTCAGGCCTTGAGCCGCCGACCATGCGTGGCCCCGATCCTCCTGACAAGAACTGTCGGATGTGTGATCGGGATATTCCTGACCCCAGCAAAATTGGGGAATGTAAGATATGCATGAAAAGAGCATGTGAGATTTGCATTCCGAAGGCTACTCGCCTTTGTCCTGTATGTGCACTGTCAATCGGTAGTTCTCAGGTTCCACAGCATCTTTTCGGAACTAGTGGCGGCGGATACAGTAGCCACCATGATCCGAACTGTACAGCTGCGACTAAGTGCATTCCCATAGACCTCCCGCCAGAGCCCGACGCGGCTGGGCTGAGGGTATGGATAGCCAATATGAAGGAAGCTGTTAGCAATGCCTACAGCTATGATGGACTTTACGTCATCAATTGGCTAACTGAAGTCGAGAAGGCAAAGACCTTTGATGAACTGGATGGGGAATGTAAATACCACATCCTTGAAGCCAGGTTCAATGCAGCCATTCGGAAGTGCATCAAGACTGTTGCAATTATTGATAAGATTAATCGTCTCACCGAAGCCGCTCAACGCTCCAACAACCGCATCAAGAGTAGGCAGATCCTGTGGCTCTTATACGACCACTTGAGGACTGCGAATATCGGAGAGCAATCATTCAGGATAATTGAGCTCTCAAACTTGCGATGCAGTGTTTCTTCTTTCTATGCCGAAGAGGAGCGACTTGAAAGGTTCATCGCGAAATGGGATCACATCCTTGCGGGTCTCGATGAACCGCTGACCGAGCAAGTAAAGCGGTCGCTATTCAGTGAGAAGGTTAGACACCTCAACTGTTTGGCTCATGATATCAGGGAATGGGATAGGAACATATCCAACCCTGATGTTTGTAGCTATGAGTGGCTTCGTGCTCGTTGTAAGAACGAAATTAACCACTGGAGGGTTCGTAAGAACCAGGTCAATACGCACAAAGACTTTTACGAACGATCTCAGTCCAGGGACAGAGCCCAGAAACCTGGTGCTCCTGGTCCTCCCGTCAGGAGACGATCTCCGTTCGGAGATTCCTATAGGCCTAATCGGCCTCCTAGTGATCCAAGGAAGAGGACCGGTAATACCCCAAGTCCTCATCGAAGGGACAAGTACTCTCCCAGGAATCGGGAGCAGGACAAGCGGCGTACGCCTAGCCCTAGGGGTGAGCCCCCAAGGAGGCCCAGATCTACGTCGCC